CAAAGTTATCCGACATCGATCCAGCATAGGTTCATGCACGGGATCCAACGTGCTTGAGGGCATTCACATTTTTCGACAAAATGAAATATATTAATATCATAAAGATACCAATTACATCAAGTCTCTGCAACAATGCAATGTCCTAAAGACATTATGGATGCACACAACCAAAAGACAATAAGAAGAAGAAGAAGAAGAAGAAGACCAACAAATATTGGTGTACTTCTGCAAATATTGGTGTACCATCCGACACATCCAACAAACATGCTAAAGCGAGCACTAGTACTACACAAAATTCAAAGACAGTTATCCAACTCAATATTTGTTGTCTTCTTTCTTTAGTGCTCCACATCGCCCAGGTTCAGTATAAGCAATTGTCACTCGCTTATACTTTTATGCAGCTTATTACATAATCCAAATTGAAGCATTCATCGAAGAATATATTGATCTAAGCAAGTACACACGAGGACTGTTTAAGCAAAATCTCTCTCAATTAACAGAAACCGGAGCAAACTGATTAAACGCGACATCAACATGGACTGGTGCACAAGGACAAGAGTCAAACACAACAGATGCATGCATGCGGCGTGTCTAGACCCTCCTGCCGGCCGGGCGACCGGTGGCCGCCTCGGGCTCCGGTGCTCCGCTGAGACACTTCACTAAACGGTGCCGGCGGCGACCGGACGTGGGGAACGGCCGGTGTACGAGCCGGCGGCGTGACCGTCGTTCTCCGGCGTGGCGGCGACGCTCTTCTGGGCGCGCAGCTGCTCGTAGAACCTCCTGATGAACTCGTCGGCCTTCCTGTCCACCTGCTGCTCGCCCGGCGTTTCGTTGCCCGGCGCCGAGTACGGCGAGTCGGCGATGCGGAGCCGCCTAGCCCCCGGGTTTCGCCCGGCCCCGGAGGAGGATGAAGTCCACAGCGCGGGCGACGGCGTCGCGGTGGCCGGCGCCACCACGAGCGCGTCGTCGTCGAAGGGGTGGCCGCCCTCGTTGAGCATCTCGAACACCCTGGCGATGTCGGCCGCGTCGTAGCTGTAGTAGCACCCGGGGCCCTCGTCGCCGCGGGGGCCGCGGCTCGTGGCGGCGGCGGAGAAAGGGGTGTTGCTGCAGCTGAACTCGACCTCGCGGCGGCTGCGCGAGGGCTCGTGCACCGCGAGGGCCGGGTCGAGCGCGCGGCACGAGAAGGACGACGACCTCGCCGAGGAAAGGCCGCCGAGGGCCTTGCCGGCTTTCTTGCCGCGGCGGAGGAGGAGGCCGAGGTCCATGGCCAGCTTGCGCCCGGACGGGAGCACCCCGCGCCGCAGCATGTAGAGCACGGCGCGCACCACGCGCCACAGCCGCCTCGCCACGCTCTTCCGCTGGGTGGTCGCCGTCGGCACGACGTCCTTGCCGGCCATTTCCGGTGTAGGGAGGAAGAGGGAGGCGGAGGGATCGAGGAGAGGAGAGCGAGAGTGAGGATGCTGAGCAAGGTGGGCTGCTCCCGCTCAGTGGCTCGCGCTTGGTGGTTGGAGGAGGTTCGGGGGGCGCGGCTATCTAAAAAGGAAAGGAGGTAGGAGTAGGAGAGTTCCCGTAAAAAAAAAAAGAGGTAGGAGCGCCAACCGTCAGATCCTTCCTTGCTTTAAGATTCACGCTGTGAGTGATTTGTCACCATTCGGCCTGTGTAAGGCGTGCATTTATGGGGGTGAAGTTTTGGAGGCCGAGCTCTTCGGAGCTCGGTATTTGAAAAAAATATCAAAAAACATATTTAAAAGTCCCAAAAAAATCAAAAAAAATCCATGGAAAATATATGTATTCCGCAAGAACATGTTAATTCCGTTTAATAATGTTGTGATTTGTAGGCTGTAAAAACAAACAATAATCCGGCCCAATAACAAAAATAAAAAACCCATTTTAAAATATGTATTGGTTTTTTTTCTGTACGCCACATGTGAAGTATAATCCGGCGAAATTTTTACATATATAGTATACATGTGTATGAGTGTCCACTAATAAATTCGGAAATTTTTTTGCGCTGTAGAAATTTGAATTTGAAAAATGAGCTCCTTGTAGGGATCCATCCCAGAATCTACTATTTGCTATGTAGCACTACTAGCCCATAAGTCACCATCAAGTCCATGTTAAATTAGTAGGACGCGTCCTACTTGAAGGAATAGAGCAGCTTTTTCATTGATTTTCAGTTTCTTTTTTGTGTTTTCATCGATTTTTCTTCGTTTCTTTCTCTGTTTTCATAGGAGGTTTTCTATTTATTTTCTTGTTTCTTTCTCGGTTTTCATGGGCATTTTTCTTTTCTTTATTTTTTCTTCATTTTTTAGTTCTCTTCGTTTCGTTCTTGGTTTTCACCGCCTTTTTCTTTTCTTCATTTTGTTTGTGTTTTTTTTCATGTTTTTCATCGGTTTTCTTTTCTTTTCTCTCTATTTTTCACTGTTTTCTATAAACATTTTTAATACATCTAATACATTTTTCTAATACATGTTTAACATTTCTCAAAAGAAGATTAATATTTACTGAGTACATGGTCAACATTTTTCTATACACATTTAGCATAGTTAAATTATTGATTACACTTTTTAAATCACATATTAACACTTTTAATACATCATCAACTTTCTTTCTACACACAATTAACATTTCTAAATAATTGATTAACATATTTCAAATACCAGATTAATTTTCTAAATACATTGTCAACATATTTAACACGTTTTCACATGCTTGATTAACATTTTTTAATACAATTTTAATTTGTTGAAATGATTGATTAACATTTTTCATATACCAAATTAACTTTTTAATACATTGTCAATATTTTTCTATACATATTTAACATTTTTTCATATTCTTGATTAACATTATTCAAATACAAGTTTGATATTTTTAATACATGATCAACATTTTTTATATGCGCATTTAACATTTTTGAATGCTTGATTAGCATTTTTCAAATATCTGTTTAACCTTTTTTTTCAAATGCTTGTATTAACATTTTTTAAATACATGATTAAAAATTTCACACATTATATTTTTGTATGCATTTTTTATATATGAGAAAAAAATGCTTGGCTTACATTTTTTGAAATACTTTATGTAAAGTGTTTTTTGTAATATATTTATTTGGAATATTTGGAAGTATAAATGGAAGTACAGAAAAAAAAATGAAAACAAAAAAAAGAGGCAGTCGCCTCTGCGCAGCTGGGCTGGCCCATCTTGCGCTCTGCTTGACGCAAGGGTCCCCTAGTTCTCGCTATAAGCGATACATAGGGGCGCCCTGTTTCGTTGTCTTTTTTGTTGGGCTGCGAAGTTTTACAGAGAGAGGGGGGGAGCGGCGAAATCGCTAGATAAGTTGTAAAGGTCACCCGACCTTCTCAGATGCTGACAAGTGGCGCCTGTGTCACTTGCCACAGTTTGGGTCTCGTGTCGAGATCTTAAAAACTAGAACACATGGTAATAGGTTTCGACGAACATTTTTTTCCACAAAAAAGTATGCTTCTTGCAAAACCAAAACAGTGCTTTATTTTTTGCCTTTCTCAAGAAGCACAACTTTGCTTCTCGCGGAAGCAAATTTGTGCTTCCACGAGAAGCAAATCGTAGAAATACATACTTCTTTTTTCTGTGTTTCTCAGGGAAGTGAATATGAATGCTAAGCAAATACAAGAAGACCAACCTTTTCAGGAAAAGCTTTAGTTTTTTTTCCAGCAAATATACTACTCTGTTTGTTGATATCTTCCAAGGCCTTCAGCCGTTAAAAAGAGCAGATGAGCCCTTTCCTTTGTTTGATGGAAATGTTGGTCAAAGATGGATCTTCTGGGTTGAAACAGAAAGATAAGAACAAACAGGAACCAAGAACTAAAATGAGCATAATGAATCACCTTTGCTCATCTATATTACATCTGTATATTCGATTCTCTATTCCATTGTTAATCGATCCCACGGAACAAGCCGCACATAGAGCCACCGAGGGAAGCTCGGAGTGACTGACTGATGAGAGTTTGCATATCTGCTGACTGTCCATTCTTCAGTAGAGCTCAAAACGAAAGAAATGGCAAGAAATGACCAGTTTGCTCACTTGGTCGCGCCAAAAAATGGCATCTGAGACAGGATAACCATTCCAATCGCACAATACGGCCACACACTCACCGTCACGCATGACGAATCGAAGTTCTATATCTGAACAAGCACATGATCCGTCGCACCAGATCCACCAGACCAACCATCAAAAAATCCCCACCATACACACCCGCGAGGCTGCTCAATCATCGCACCACTCGATCGGCAGGCACGGCAGCAATGGCGGCGGCGACCGGAGGCGGCGGCGGTAGCAGGGAGGAGGGGCTGACGCTGCTGGGGTTCTGGACGAGCCCGTTCGCGCTGCGTGCGCGGTTCGCGCTGAACCTCAAGGGCGTCCCCTACGAGTACGTGGAGGAGGACCTGTTCGGCGAGCGGGGCAAGAGCCCGCTCCTCCTCGCCTCCAACCCGGCCCACGGCGGGAAGGTGCCCGTGCTCATCCACGGCGGCCGCCCCGTCGCCGAGTCGCTGGTCATCCTGGAGTACATCGACGAGGCGTTCCCGGAGCGCCTCCCGCGCCTCCTGCCCCCGCCCGACGACCCGCGCGGCCGCGCCGCCGCCCGCTTCTGGGCGGCCTGCGTCGACCAGAAGCTGCTCCCCACGTGGACGCCGCTCTACGCCGGGAGCACGGCCGAGGAGCGGGCGGGCGCGGCGAGGGAGGTCGTCGCCGTGCTGGAGGCGTTCGAGGGGGAGCTCGGGGACAGGGACTTCTTCGGCGGGGACGGCGTGGGGCTGGTGGACGTGGCGCTCGGCGGGTTCCTCGGGTGGCTGCGCGCGTCGGAGGCCATGTGCGGCGTGCGGACCGTCGACCCGGCCAGGACGCCGCGGCTGGCGGCGTGGGCGGAGCGGTTCGGCGCGCTGGACGGCGTGAGGGAGGTCGTGCCGGACGCGGCGCCGCTGGTGGAGTACAACCTCATGAAGCGGGCTCGCCTAGGCCTGCCGTATCTGCCGCCGCATCAGACGCAGCAGTAGTAGTTAATTCCAACGCGAGTGGCTCGATCCATCGCGCGCAGAGGAGGAATTGAATTGAATTTGAAATTCTGAATCCGATCCCTTAAGCCGGTGGATTATTTAGTTCTTCTACTTGCAGTAGTATAATAAGTCTGTATTCTTGTTTGGAATTCTGGAATTCTCCGCTGGATCGAACCAGGTTTTTGAGAAACTCTAGCCAGAGAACTGCCTTCCAATAAAAAGAACAGAGTCGTATCATCTTCACAGCAGTCAGTCCAGAGTGTACGGTGTCATGTATAAGAAGGAAAAAAAGAACAGAGAAAAAATAGGAAAAACAGAGAAAAAGTAAAGGGGCATTCCGAGAATTGAACTCGGGACCTCTCGCACCCTAAGCGAGAATCATACCACTAGACCAAATGCCCTCGTGTGATTTCAATTCAGTACATAACGTATTTGAGCATTCAGTTTCTGTATTTGACAAACATGAGTATGGCTTCTCACCCCGTTTATTAATGAAGCAACAAACCACCAAGCATCGAGGATGTACTCCCTCCGTTCCGAATTACTTGTCTTGAATTTCTCTAGATACAGATTTATCTAAACTCATTTTAGTGCTAGATACATCTGTATCTAGACAAATCCAAGACAAGTAATTCGGAACGGAGGAAGTACATCATAAAACAGGTTAGAAAGGGAAAGCAAAGCAAGTTCACTGTTGTGGGCAACATCACAACAATAGACCCAATGGATACAACCAATATCGAGGGGCAGGCGAAGGGGTGACTCTATCCGGCTTTTTACTAAGGACCCGCCTCTAGTGCAACAAACCGTACAATTTATAAATGGCATCAGTAGGGCATCGTCAATGAATATTCTCAATGACAAGCTTGGTGTGAATGGACCGAATCGTTCAAGAAGCAACACCAAAGACAACCTAAAGGTGGTGACGAATGTCGCCTGCCCTAGCCCAAATGATCTTGTAAAGATCCGAAAAGTTCGTAGGATACCCATCTATCCTACAACCTTAGATCAACTTCAATGAGGCGATCCATTTCGTTCGCCGCCATCCGTTCAGGTCGATGCGGACATAAAAAACGACCCAACACGTCGACCTAAATAAACGCGCGTCTGTTTATTCGTCCGCGGGCGATCAATTTTCGGTCCATTTTTGAGCCAGCAACGCCGCCCCTCCCCTCCCCCTCTCCCCCGCGTCGCCCTCCGCCGCCGTTTTACCGCCGGGGAGCAAACTGCTTCCCACCGCCCTTCCCCCACTGCACAGCCGCCCGCGACCAAGAAGCCGCCTCGCCGCCCCTGCCACATCCGACCGACACGCTCGTCGGATGCCGTCACACTCGTTGGACACCGGCAGGGCAGCTACCTGGTCTGTGGGCGTCGCGACTCCCCTCGCCGGCCGTCTCCTTCTTCAACGCCCGCAAGTTGTTTGACAGTTTGCCAAGGTACGAAATTGACTCCGCTGACGAGTTTTTTTCTTCACAATTTCCTTTGTGACTCCGACGATTCGTCGTTCGACGACGAGGATGAGATATTGGCTGCCGTGTTGGTCCATCACCACCTCAACAGCCAGCGGCCATTATTCCGTGGCTCCATTCCGGGCCACCTTCGGCGTTGAATCGCAACTGAGAGAGCGGGCATTTTCTTCTCTGAAAGGACTACTTTGATACAACAAACCCGTTGTTCAAACATCACAAATTCCGCCGCCGTTTCCGTATGAGTAGGCATGTTTCAACCGTATTAGAGAGGGAGTGGTCGAAACGTCTGTACGATCAAGGCTTTCAGTTTCAGGGTGAGAATGTTGTGACTGAGCATGGAGTAGCGACAACATTTGAGCAGTTCACTCAATTTCATGAAAACATGCGTGATTGGAAAACTCGCGTGCAATTGCAAAATGATTTGGTTGAGCATATATGGGCTCATGTTGGCAACCAATAGATATATCTTCTTTTATTCGTTTGCAAAACTATGTGAAACATTTTTATTTGTATTTGGCTTGTCAAACTATACTATTTATTTGGGCGGGCAGACTATTTGGCTTGTAAAACATTTTCATTTGATAATATGTTGAGTGCAAATCAATATAAAATTGGACGGTCAGCCGGCCACATCGGTACATATGGATCGACGCGTTGGGCGCGCTGTCAATCCATATCAAAAACAGTACGGACACCAGACGGGCGGCCGACCCAAACGAATAAAAATCAGACGAAATCGCCGTCCATTTGGGTCGACCCGTTGGAGTTGCTCTTAGGAAAGCAACACCAAACGAAATGGGCAGCCACATAAGTAAAAAATAAGTGATTGTTGTCTTCCAGGACATGACACAACAGACACATGCTGTAATAAATGATTGTAATAACCTTCTGCTTAATTAATTAATAAAAGGAGGGTTTAAAAATAGAGGCTTGAACTTGCATCAGGATCACTCAAGTAAGGCTTGAACATGTGGCTTCTTTGTTGTTCTGTAAATATGACGAGAAGCAAACTTACTTAAGTATTTATAAAATGTGAAACTTCTAAAACTCTATCTTAATTTATTTATTGGCAGTATTGCAAGTCATCACATTTCACAAAGCTATGTATTTTTCTTTTGTATAATGAGCTATAGTCCACCTAGATCAACAAAACTACCTTCAAGTAGTGCATATACAGAGTAAAAAATACAAGGTTTCAGCACAAGCAATTTATTCCCACCTCCCGCGTTTTTTCAAACACGGCCTGTAGGGCCTGATTCATTAAAAAAGGTTGAAGAAAGTTGCCCAGTTATTAACAGAAAATCAGGTGAAAACTGTCACAACACGCCCGCAAAAACAAAGCACACACGACGACCTGGCAACCCACACAAGAACGCGCACATGTCGTCGACGAGAAAAGCGCCATCGAGGTTGCAATCGGGTGTCATCGTCATCACACCTCCGCGAGGGCGACTTCGACTCCACCATCAATGACCACCGATGTAGCCCTCCCCGCAAACAAACACCGAGGCCTGCACTAGTCGATGCCAAACAGTCCATCACATGCATCGATGAGCAGGCAGCTTCGACTCTATCGACGAGTATTACAGGGGAAAAGTGTTGGGCATGCATCGAGCCCGCACCGGAACCGACCACCCGTCTCGTCACCGCAGAAGCACCTCCTCTGCAGCTCCGACTTCAAGAAGACAAGGCGAGGCATGACAGCCCCCCGAACACGTCGGGAGACCGACTACCAAAGCTTAGTAGCAGCCCAACTCCGCCCGAAGCCGCCATCGTTGCCACACAAGTCGCACAACATCACCATGTCGGACGGACACCTGCCGACCGCAATGCCGCGATGGAGAGGGCAAATGTGTTTTTACCTCCCATGTTATTATATCTCATTCTCTGCTCTAATTACCTCCAACTAACAGAAATATTTCACGCAAAAAGATTACGACTGATTCTTCGACTGATACATAAAACGTGTCCCACGAACCACATCTTTCATGGAAGATAGCGCATAAGTCCACAAAGGACCGTTTAGTTAGGCGCAAACTATCAAACAGTACTTATTAGAACCTTGATAAATTGATTTAAGCATATGCTTTCTAATCCTAATCTCCACCTCATCCTTGCTGAAAATCATCAAGCTCTCTATTGAATCCTCCTCTGACAATATGCACGTTGATTTAAATAAATCCCTTTAATAAGTCTGTGGTCTGTGGTTTTCACTCGCTTGGGCATCTGAATTTCTACACTGGATCAAACTTCCAGTGATGTTGCTTCTTAGAGAAATGCTAAAATACACCAGATCAGTTGTAATGTATCATCCACACAGTATGTTGGTTTCAGAGTGTTGTCCAACAGTACAGAGGAAAAAAAAACAGGAAAAAAATAATGGGGCATTCCGAGAATTGAACTCGGGACCTCTCGCACCCTAAGCGAGAATCATACCACTAGACCAAATGCCCTTGTGTGCTTTCAATTAATCTAGTCTCTACAAATTAAGCAGCTACTGTTTGGCTTCAGCTTTATATAACACCACAATATTGCTGCCAGCGTATCTGAAGCACATGATCATGGAACAAACATTAGCCTTGTCTCACGCAACAGAGAATGAAAGGAAAACATGCAAACAAAGATACTTTTACACCAGGCACGCATGCTGCCCACCAATCAATTGGTTTATTACCACAAGCATCGCATCAAGCCAGCCATACTCATACAGAATTACACATACCATCAGTTCAGTTGAACCTGGAGCACTTCCTCCTGATCTCGCCCTGCCTCCCCGTCTTGACGGCGACGCCGCCCAGGCTGACCATGGCCTTGGGGAACTCGTAGGTGAAGCGCAGCCCGAAGAGCCCCCGGATGTTGCCGGCGTACTTCTGCACCACCCCCTGCGTGGCGTCGTCGCCCCACAGCCGCTGGTCCGACTCCAGCGCGGCGTTGCCGTCCCTCACGTTCTTGAAGAAGGCCGCGTCGAAGGCCCCCGCGCCGTCCCTGTCCAGCGCCACCCGCCGCGCCGGGTCTCCGTTCGGCGGGCACAGCGCCCGCAGCTGCGGCAGGAACGCCGGGCTGATCGACGGGTCCGCGTTCCCCGTCGCCGTGAAGTTGTACAGCCGGTACCGCACGAACGCGCAGTCCGTCTGCCCGATCGTGTGCGCGCCTGCATGCAGATCACCATTACACCGGACGGTTAACTGAACATTATGCAGTGTCATGCGTTTGTAGTATGAAGGATCGAAGAAGATTATTACCGACTAGTGTGACGAGATCGTGGTCGGACAGGCCCTGGTCTGCGAACTTTTGCCGCTGGACGGACACGGGGTCGGCCGGAGACGGCAGGGCCTTGGCGTCTGCGGCTGATGAGATCCTCCCGTCTCTTCGTCCCAGAGGCACTGGCCAGCTTGGCCCGCCGGTCTTGCCATCGTTTACAGAACGTGGCAGACAAACAGTTCAGTCATCAGGCTCTCAGCTAAACAGTTCTTGGCAGGAGTTCAGTCAGAAACAAAACTTGCCTACCAGATCCACGGAATCACGTGCGGC